CACACACACACACACACACACACACACCTGTCTTCTTCGCCGTACGTCGCTCCGGGTCAGCGTCTCAGCCGGACGGCTCAGATTTCTCTGCTTTTAATGGCCGCAGCCGTTTTGTCTGCTCTTCTTTCTTTCACGTCCGTCTTCTAGCCGTCTGTCCATGTGTCTGTCTGACTCCATGTGTCTGTCTGACTCCATGTGTCTGTCTGACTCCATGTGTCTCTCTCTCCCTCTTTATGACTACAGTTCACCAGGCTGCAGGGCTTGCCGTTCACCCCTGAGCCTGTATACCTGTGCCCCGTATCAGTCAGCCCATCTGTCAGTTAGCGTTTGGCCGCCGGACATGATAATGTCACAGAGGCAGAGATAAGAGCGGTGGAGAGGTAATGGGGGGGTGAAGAGGGCAGGAAAGAGAGAGATAAGGAGGGGGGCAAAGTTAAGAGGAAGGTACGGGAGATGAATAACAGAGATAAGACGAGAGATGAGGATCAAAACAGGAGCTGGAAAACAAGACATCATCTCTAAGATTAAGATGATGAGGAGTGATCAACACGCTTACATGATCACTTTACTGTAGTCTGGGTATTTTCTTATTTAGGGCTGGGTGGGGGAAGATTTTAGGCTGTCACATTAGAGAACTTAGTGTCACTTTTTATCAGAAGCTATCAGCTTCTATTTGCAACAAACCTGCACACAGAGAGAAAATCAGATAAAGCAGAAAGGAGCAGAGGTGATAAGACAAAGATGGAGTAAATAAGCACAGGTGGAGGGTGCGGGGTTTACGCAAATAGTGCCGATGCACGGCAAAAAAAAAAGTAGGAGTATCATGGAGTAATCAAGGTACCGCTGTCTGAACACAGACAGAAAAATCAGCTTCACATTTCAGTCTGGAGAGAAAATTCAAACGTTTCCTGATAGACGAGAAGAATTTTTTTATGTTACAATTAAAATGACAAAAAGTGCAGGTCGTCTGGATCAGAGGTCCCAGACAATATTTCACGGACCGGCCTTTAAGATGTCGTGGATAAATACAACAAAATAAAATGATAGGACCGAGACACAAACGGTGGGATTTTATAAATATAATAATAAACATGAATTCACTGTGTAATTGTGTAACTTTAATAGCAGCGTCCTGAAATGCACCAACAACACTGAGAGTAACATCCTCCTCTCGGGTCGCTATGGTAACGCAGAAATATTTCTTTCAGAATAAGACGAACAACTACAACACGGGAAAGACCCGGGGAAACCGAGTTAAGGATGAAAACCCTGAAAACCACAAATTTCACACCCGAGCCAAACGACCCACGGACCGGTACCAGGCCGTGGCCCGGGGGTTGGGGACCGCCGGTCTGGATGACACGCGAGTGATACGGTGCGCCCGACTGTTCTGTCCACCGACACTTTGATTCCAACTCTGTGGCTTCTCAGTGGTCCCAGTTATGAATGCGCACTGGTTCGAATGGCTCTGTGCAGCTGAACTGACTGCTCACATTTCTATCTCACGCCTCGACTCCAAACCTTTGTTCCTCCAGCAGTCGAAGACGGAGCTACTGGAAACCACGAGCGGGGATTTCTGAGGTCTACTTGTATTGGTTTTGTAAATGAAATTTAAAAACATTGAACACACACACACTCTTTGTGCTTTAGTAAAGGAAAAAAGCATCGTTTGAATAAAAGATTCATTCGCTACCAGTTAATGAATACTTGAAAAATAATATCGTGATCCCCAGTGTGTTATGAGAGTTTCCATATTGGGAACGGGGCAGAAATCCAGTGGTAATCTGTAGAGAATCCACTGTAAATCCGGTGGCAAGTTTGGAATTCTCCCTCCAGGAACCCCGTCAGCACCGCGCGGCAGCTGGGGATTAGGGAGCGATGTGGATGGAACCCGTTACTGGCATGCATACACACACCCAGTATGAGAACTAAAACACTTATGTAGACATGCACACAGTGAGAACATTTATCATCAACACACGAAAGAGGACAGGCGCGCTGTTTAAATACAGCCCGTAACTCCTAATCACCCCCCCTCCCGAACCCCACGCACTCTGGAGGAGGCAAATTGGCACACAGCTGGAGAAGAGTTAAGACCAAACGAGGGGCTGGTGGTCTGTGTGTGTGTGTGTGTGTGTGTGTGTGTGTGTGTGTGTGAGAGAAAGACAGACGAGAGAAACAGATGTAATAAATGAGAACAGCTTCCTGGCTCATGCAACAACTAGTTTAACATAATTGAGAGAGTCATCAAACCAAAACGAGGAATTGAAAACATTCCAGGCAGAACAGCGAAGCCGCTGAACGCTCAGTTTGAAGGGAAATTCAACTGTGTAATACCTGTTTAGAGATGACTTCCTTAATGCTGCTATGTGGATAGGGCGCTCACAGTTACACGGGTCACATATTCAAAAGGATAATTGGAAGGATTTCTCTCCGTGTCTGACAGTAATTGGGAGTAATGTGATCCTTACTAATTCCCCGGCATTTAAGAGATTTCTGATGGATTTCAGGGGAAACAAGGACTTGTTATATGTCATCTGCACCTGCCCCGCTCTCTCATAAACGCACGCTTTCACGGACTCTTTCTAAAAGGGCTGCTCACAGCTGTTCGGCTGCTGCACACACATGCACAGAGTCATCTATCACGCAGGCCTGCCTCTCAGCAACTTTTAAAAACAGAGACAAGATGCAGCTTTGTGTCACAGCGCATTAAAAAACTCCTGAGAGCCAATGACAGCCACCGCGCAGATAGATGGCCTCAATATAACCGAACACCGGCACACAAACGGCAGCGGCTCGACGCGAGGAGTCGCAGACGGAAGCTGAGGTAAAAAATAAATAAAGGCGGGCGGGGAGGCGAAGAGTAATATTTAAAGTAAGCGAAGGAGAAGTGGAGGAAATGAACTAGCGAAGCTTTAATTCAGTTATATCTTTATGAGTCTTTACAGAGCCGAAGCCTCACTTCGTGTCGATATCCACTTGAATGTGATTTGAGATTTTAAGCCGGGAAAGCGCTTCATATTTTCAAATTGCATTCAACAGTGTCAGATTCTTTGTCAATGAGAGTCGTGCTATTTTGACAGTGTGGTAATAAAACAGATTAATAGCTCAAATTGTTCTGCGACTGCTGTCGTAATGTCATTTCGTGAGTCGCGGCGAAAACAGAGCTGCCGTGGTTTAATGTTGCCGGAGTTAAACTAACTTTAACTTTGTTTCATCTTCCTAATGCGATACTTCATTACGAAGCTTTAATCACAGACGCCGCCGTCCAAACAATGAGGCAATAAAAGCTTAAGTGGAAAATAATGAAGGGCGGAGAAATATCTTATTATCTAAGGAAGGCAAGAGAAAGACAGTAAAGCCTGTTTATCGGAGGACCGATGGAGGAAGATACATGATTTCGAGTTGTTTTATTTTTGCCAATTAACATTTAATATTTAAAACTGTTTTAATATGTTTAGATATTGTGAATTAAACGTGTATATTACCCACCAGTGGGAAGGGAACGTGGCCCAAACATGTTATACAGCTGCTTCTTCTTTGTAAGGCCAAAAGCTGCATTTATTTACATTATAAGGTTAATGTAGCTGCAGAGCGACCGTGCTGGCTGTGGAGCCTTTTCACCGTAACAAATAATATGGCACATCCACCTTACACATGAAAGCTCCTCAGTTTGAGACTGGGAGGAGTCAGTGAGGCTGGTGTTTACATATTTATCCTTATATAAACTTTTATAAATAAATCAAAGTTAGTTACACCTGTCGTAATGACGGCTGAAGCTC